TAAACATATATGTGTGTATGTATTTACATGTACATACAATAAGTTGTTTTTTGAAGAAAGTTACTATTCTAAAGAACACAATTTTATCTTCAGAAGTGCTAAAAGAACAGCAACTTGGCCCTGCACCTGTTAGGACAATCCTCTCTTTGTCATGAATCATCACTGCAGAGGATTCTGAGGGCCCTAAGGAAGTTTTGGGAAGTTTGCTTTCTTACTAGGCATTGTTTCCTAGAGATTAAGAGAACATGTTTGCATGGGTTGAAGAGATGTCTCAGTGGTTAAGAGAACATGCTGGCTCATATGCCCTTCTGAAGGAGCCTACATAGTGTTCAGGAAGCAATGCCAGGCCTACAGACACAAATCAGTGAACACAAGACAGAGACTTTCTGGGACAGCTCCTCCACAAACACTCAAGATCTGAGTAAGGCTGGGTGTTCTATGGACACATGCTGGAGAACTACAGAAGTATAGGAAAAAATGTCAGGGAACCATGCCAGGAAGGAAAAAGAATGGAGTAAAAAGAAAAGAGGCTCCCTTTGAAATAACATAAAATAACACAAATGAAGCTTCAGGGGACCACATTGCTATGAAGCTTCTTTAATTAGCTTAGGATTTCCAGCCACTCTGGGAAGAGTTAAGATGTTCTAGAAACAGTCTACCCCAGGAAAATGCACAAAGCACTTGATCCAAATTAATTGTCACTATTTTCATAGCAAATTTAGTTCAAAAGCAATGGTGTATGGCTTGGTCACAGTAGAGACAAATGAGAAAATTTCTTACCAACATTTCAAAGTCTGCTTAGAACCAAACCAACTTTAGACTACTCTATGGTAAAAGGTACGCATTACTGTAATTATAAGTGAAAACAGAAATAAAAATTATCTAAAAATAAAAACAAGTACTTTTAAAAGTATAGAAAAAACTGGAAAAAATATATTTTCATCCTTTGACAAAACGAATTTTAGCTGTATTTTTGCAACGAACATTGTACAGTTAATATAAAATGAGTAACACGGGGGAAACAGGATGGTGCTGGAGAAGTAATGTATACTCAATAAAGCTTCACTCTGGAAAACAATAAAGCAAGGATTGTAATACCTTTGAGTAATACCAAATTATATGCTCAACACTGTTTATCAAGGCTTAAAAATCAACTCCAAAATACCGGCTACTGTTTCAACAAAGTGTGTGTAAGAACTGTCTACGTTAAGTTAGTGCCTGCCCTATAAGAGTAGTATTTGTTTTCTTTATGGTCAAATTAACAACCAAGTAGTTTTTACCTTACCAAAAGTGATTTCTATCTAACCAAAAGTAAAGTAACACAAGCAACCCTGTTCTGCTTCACAAAGCATCCACAGCTCCATTCACGGGAAGAGCAGTGGAGAACAGGAGACACTGTCGCTGCAGCTGCCGCACACCTGTGCATCCTGACTGCACTCAAGCTCCCTTCCCTAACTAACTCCGGAGCCTTGTGCACGAGGGACAAGCGTTCTGTCACTGGATGACATGTTCAGTCCACATCTGAGCCAAATTTCTACAAAGGCTCCCAGAAAATACTTTTAAAGAAGTAATTTAAGAAAAAAGGTAAAATAAAGGCTAGTGCGATGGCTTGGCTGGTACAGGCTTGCCATGAAAGCCTGCCCCGTGCTCATTCCCTGGACCTCTCTAGTGACAGTCAGAGAACTGACTCCATGAAGTTGCTCCCGGACCTCTACATACATGCCATGGTCCTTGTACCCCATACATACAACACACACAACAATAACATATAAATATTTAAGAAAGTAAAGTGTAAATGTGGTACTGGATTATTTTAAGTCTGTCTGTATATAGCCAATTCCTAATTTTAAAAACAATGGGACATTATTTTCCTTCAAAGTTATTTGAGAAATTTCTAAACACATTTTGATGGAATAGACAGAAGTTCTAAACTGAAAACAAAATACCCATTTACAACAAGTAAATTTCTTTTACAGTTGTTAGAAGTCAGTCACCTCTTGCCCACATAGTGCCTTAACACAGTAAATACAAAGGGTTTGCTGTCCAGGCTAAAGAGTTAAACAAACACTCATAAAACACAAGACAAGGAGGGAGTGCTGGGAGCAGATTGCAAGGGCATGGGAGTGGGTATTTCAGAGTCTTATAGCAACTTAGGGTGCGGAGATATGAGATTTTTCTGTAAAATGAAACCACTTTACAGAGCATAACGAGATCAGCTGAGGCACCTTCTGTAGGCCCTTGAACCACAGAACATCTGGGAGAGCAAAGACTTCGTGATTGAAAAACAGGCCAGCTAGCAATACTCCTCACATCAGGCTCCGTGTTTTCTCTGAGTCAGAGTTTGGGTCATGTAGAAGTAAAACTGGCCCCAGAGAGGAGGAGAGTTTCTCACAGTTTGCCATTTAAACCTCCAATGACCGTGTTTCACAGCAGGCTCAATACACTCCAGCATGTAACTGCATTTTAATTTCCTAAAACCACAGGACATAAGTGTGATTTCAAATAGTGTCTGGACTGTGATATTCAATATTGATAAAACTATACAATATTCTCTTCAAAGTTACAAAGACACAACACATGGAAAATGATCTTCGTGTGCTTGGAAACTCTATTCTCTGACTGTAAATGAATTCTAAACGATGAATAGTTAACAGCCAGTGTCTGCCCTGAGGAGAACCCAGCAGAATACAGGAAACAACATGCTATGTGTTCATCACTCAGCAGAACAGACTGTCTTCTTGATAACAGTAGGCAATGCAAGACTAAACTGGTTTTGCTATGATATGCTTATTAGCACTTGTTTTGGAAAGGAATTTTAAAATCAATAAACTGAATGAGTATTTACTTGCATGCCCATTCCATGCATGGAAATGAGAAGGTCATGTTTCAGCTTCACAAAACATGGGGAACTTATGGTCTCTTGCATCTCCAAGAAACCTTTAAACTAATTTAAGAAAGAGTAAAATTGTGTTCACGTGTAAGAGTCAGAAACAAGCTGAAGACCACAGTACTATGAAGGAAAGAACTCGAAAAGATGGCCCGCAGCTTTCATTACAAGCTACTGACCCAGAGGAGGCAAAGCGGAAGTGTTTTCTAAGACACGGGTAGTGGGTAATTATGAGCTTTCCTCTTGAACACGGCTGCCTTTGGCTATGGACCTGACGCCAAAGCCCACTGACAAAGTCAGTGTTTTAAAGCAACATTATCTGTTTGGTCAGTACAGTATAACTTAGAATGAAACAATCCCATTCTGATTAGCAACTTAAGGTATGGGATTTAAGTCCTGGCTAGAAAACCTGGGGTGATGCCAAAGTGTCTGGCAAATGGGATAGCTGGGCCCACTGTGGTCACTCTTCAGATTCTATGGTACTACTATGGGTAAGATGTGTCATTCATGATTTCATATCAGCTTTTCAGGGTAACAAATGTATCACATAAACCAATTTCATTCAAAAACAAACAAACAACCCCCCCCCACACAAACTGGCCAGGCAGTGGTGGCGCACACCTTTAATCCCAGCACTCTGGAGGCAGAGGCAGGAGGATCTCTGTGAGTTTGAGGCCAGCCTGGTCTACAGGGCTAGTTCCAGGACAGACTCCAAAACCACAGAGAAACCCTGTCTCGAAAAACTAAAACAAATAAAAGCTGGTGAGAAAAAAAATGGTCATTTCAGAACTGAGAAGTCCATGCGTTTCTTTTCTTTCTTCACCCCTCATTCTCACCTGACCATTGCCCTCTGCCGGGCTTGCATTTCCTCCCTTCCGTATTCTAATGAGGTATGAATCAGGTATTACCTCAGTAGTAGACTGTGAGGACTCAAAGCACAGTTTGGAACATCAGTGGACTTCAGTCGGAGAAGCCACACACAGTGGCATAATGTAAGCCATCCAAGAGCATCAAACGTGTGCCAGTTTAACAAAGCCCTGCTCCCGCGCTCTGTAGACCAAGAGGTGTTTTACGCTTTCAGTGGCACTTAGACTCCAAGGAGCTAAACAGGACATACTATTTTTCTCTCAGAGAGAAGGGGCAGAACAAGTGGGAATAAATGCCAACAAAAGCCTCTGGCATAAATCTGAGGCAACATCCTAACCTAACTTGAACAACAAAACCAAAACAATAGGGACGATTCTTAATATCTGGGTCTGATTTTCCTCTCGGTATAACTCAATAAGGTAGGTCTTACTATATTTTTATTAACACATACATTATGGCATTTTTATACATACATACAATACTTCAATCAAACACAGAGGTCGTCCTATTATTTTCTTTTGTTTCAGACAGGGTCTCATGTTGCTCAGACTCACCCCAAACTCATGACAAGACAGCTGAGGCTGACGCTAAATAGGTGATTCTCCTGCCTCTAATTTACAATTGCTAGGGTTCTGGGCATATCCCACCACACTTGACACTTATTTTTATCTTAATAGTAAGTAAGGAATCTGAAAGCAGGGAAGATTCTCAATTGCCTAAAAGCACAGATACCTATTTGTCATGAAGTCAGGATCTTAACTTGTGGCTATTCTTTTAGTGTCTCTATACACTTATAAGAGAATAATAATAAACAAAATATGGTGGAGGCTATTCTAGGCAGGACCTCGAAAAGGACATGGAAAAGGAGACATACCGGGGACAGACGAAAAGTGCCAGCACAAAAACTTCGTGAAATAACTATCTACATAGCACTGTTCCACAACCTCAGTTCGATTGCTCAATATTTCTGCCTCTATACTGGCAAAATAAGCAAACAATTTTTATATTGTGATAATTGTTAAAACATAAAAATAGAGGTTTCAGTCCTCAAAACATGTGAAACTCCAACAGGGAAAACACAGGCGGCAAGCAGCAAGAGTAACGTCATTTCTTAATTGTCTATCTGTCTTGTCTTCCCTATCACAGAAACACACGTGTGGTTTTTGACACAGTGTACAAGTATGAAAAACTATGAAGAGCCACAAAAAGGATAAAGATGCCAAGCTGGGTTCTGCAATAGACATACCTGCTTGTGGGTCCTGGTTGAAACGGCAGTATTTGGAATTGTCAAGAGAAGGCAGGCACTGCTCAATGGGTACCCAGACATACGTCTCAGGACACAGCAAATCAGAAGGTCTATACTGACCCTAAAGAGAAGTGAAGACAAAAGGCACAGGCATTACAAACGCTAACTCCTGAGTTCTGAGGCTCCAAGGGTCAAGGAAAGGTTTGGTGACAGGCTTAATGACAACCAAAAAAGCCTTGCCATATTTAGAGAACACATATATAATGCAAGGCTCTCTAAAAGTGATACATCAACATTTAGCAGGCTATACCGATTCCGAATTTGAGAGTTTACCCTTTTGGAAAAAATCCAGTTGTCTTTGAAGAGCTAGTGAGGAACAGAGAGAAGCTGCTTTGCATATATTAGAGAACTATACAAAGCCATATAAAGCAAACTTGTTTCCAAAAGTAGAATTTTACTGTCCCCAATCACTAATTTTTTTAGTTTATAAACTCAAGATTAAGCTCCTTTGTTTTGTTTTAAGACAGGGTTTCTCTGTAGCTTTGGAACCTGTCCTGAAACGAGCTCTGTAGTGGCCTCAAACTCACAGAGATCCGCCTGCCTCTGCCTCCCGAGTGCTGGGATTAAAGGCGTGCGCCACCACTGTCTAACTCAAGGCTGATAATATTCAGTCCATGCTAATGTTTTAAAAAGTAGCATCCTACTAATATACATCTAATAACAATCTAGTAAATGTACAATAAAAAGCTTAAAAAATAGAAATTCTAACAAAACCTGTGATACTATAACTTCACAAGTTCTAGTTTACAAAAACGTGTAGATCAGTTACATACTTCAAGTGTACAACACTATACAATATTTACTGAATATGAACACAGAGTTAAGAAAGAATAATACAAACTGTAAAAAGCATTAGTGAATTTTTTCAGAAAAAAAACATAACTTTTATATTCTTTGAATTTATTCAAAATTCTAAATGTCTTATCTCTGAATATTAAAATTCAAATTTGATATCAGGTTAAAATCTAGTGCAGTCATTTAAAAAAATTTTTACAATCCAGTTTAAGAAATTATTTCAATATAAGGAACAATCCAACCTAATTTCTCTTGTATTTACTTAATGGCTTCAACCTAACTTTTTTGAAAACGCTTTACTTCCCCTACTGAGTAAAAGTATCCCCTGTTAAATTCCTATATAGACTGAGTTCTTAGCTTGTCATGTGCCAGTGCCACATAGTATTCAATATTAAAGTTTTATGTTATATTTTACTCTTTGGCAAATCTAATCTCTCATCACTCCATTTGCAGAATCTTTTCCATTTTGCTTTATTATCCTAGAGTTCTCAATTTGGTATAAAAATATGACCAATGTGAATTTAAAAACTAGTACAAAATAAAGAGCATATTTTCATGTAGTGACAGAACATTTGAGGATCCCCAAGAATATCTGTGTGAAAAGTGTGTTAATAACAACTACAATCCCAAGTGTCCAAATGCTCCTATTTTCTAACTTAAGGTTAAAGTCAAGGCAAACACTGGGAGTGAGGGTGATCTCTGAGGTCTGAAAGTTGAAATAATGGACTTTCCCTTTCAGAACAGTCCATGAGTTCACACAGATTCATGAACAAACACCTAACAACAATACTGACAAAAAGACTTAGTGCGGCAGCAGGTCCTGGAACAAAGATGGACAAAATCATGCTTTTAGAAAATGCACTGAACCCACTGGAGTGAGGAGGCTGCACAAAGCTCAGGCGCACATGATGTGTGGGAACACGAGTCCTCACAGTTCTCTCAATGTCCTATTCACTCACAGGGAGGTTCGGCGCTTACTTTTGATGCTTTAAACATTCACCTCATTAAAAGATCAGAAATACATTTTGACTTATTCATATCACTTGAAATCAAATTTGTCAATTACATTAAACACCCTTCTCCAAAGTATAGGCTTCTTTCAATACTTCAGATTTTCTCCCAAGCCATCAAAGAATGTGGTTTTATGGAATAAACCACTGTGAAATGCTGTACTTTCTAAGCTAAGTGGTTAAGTTATGTGACTGAAGTACTTAGAGCTCAGCTCAGAGTCACCAGCACACAAAAACCACAGGGAGGTGAAAGCTACCCTGCCTGTTCCCTATTGTAGGAAAACCAGAGATGTTTGTATTAAGAATGTAATTACTTAAGGATTTGGACATACTTTCCCAGGGTCAAAAGAAAAAATATTTAATCAACCTCTGAGTATACTCATTCAGATTGAACAGTGAAGTAAAAGCAGATTAATTCTTTCCTACGGTGACTTTGAGTAAATGAGAAATATGAGTTACCACAGATTTCTGGAGTACTCGGAATTTTGAAAATGTAACATCTTTGACAGCTTATCCCACAGAGCTTTTTGAGAAGTTCTTTCAAAATGATGAAGAGTTCAGAAGAGGAGCGGCTAGAGTCCACGGTGCTAAAGAAGGGTTACTATTTTACTCCAAATATAGCTGTAATACTCAGTAATTATCTTCTTAATGAAAACTGCTTAAGGCTACTTGTAAAACCCAAAGCCACCAAGGAAAAAAAGAGAGAGGTTACAACATGGCCAGATTTTACTAGGCTGTCATAGAGTAAGAGTTTAGGAAATATTACAGTTAAAACGAAAACACTGTGCAAGGACAAACCTCCAAACCCTAGCTAAACACATTTCCTGGTCTATCAGAAAAGACTGTCGTCCAGCAGGGGGCTGTTTGCTTTGGTTTTGGGCAATGCCGACAAAGGCATTCTTCTCACTTGCCTGCTTTTGGCCATAATTGAAGATCTTTACCATACTGATCTGACTTTTCAACCTATGAAAGAGCCGCCAAATAAGTTATATAAAAAATACATTAGTCTAACAAAATAATCAGAATTTAGCCTAAGAACTACATTTATTTTTGATAACCAGAAGCTGAGATATCTCATCACTGTGGCTGGAGACTTGGTTCGGTGGCTAAGAGCACTTGTTGCTCTTCCAGAGGACCTGAGTTCAATCTCCAGCACCCATGTGGTGGCTCATAGCCATCTGCAACTCTAGTTCCAGGGGGTCCAACACCCTCTCTGACCTCCACAGGCACAAACACACAATAATTTTAAAAAAATGACCTCACTATCACATCGTACTCAATACATATGAAGAGTATATAGAGTACGGCAGTAATTGTCAATGATAGCAGACTTTAAAACAGACGGATACCTTATTGCTTCCAATGAAACAAAGCAAACAACTCTTAGACATTTTCCTCCAGCTAAGACACATCTAGTTACAAATCTAAATTTCCAAAGGTAAAATCAGTGTCTGATAATATGAAGCCACAACAAGAAATGGTTCTAGCAAGCTCTCAGCATCAGTTTTATTATGTTATTAATGATGGAATTCACAAACTAGCAAGATCTCCCCATTAGCACAGGGCTGGCCTACTGTTTCCATGCTTGTTCAAAGCTATATAACCATTATCCCTGTACATTTCTATAAAGTCCTAGAGAAACCTAGACTCACGAGCCCTCACAGCCTTACCCTCTCATAGTATATAGGCAATCCATTTAAAAATGGAAGGCCCAAAAGTGGGTAATGGAGCTTGCCACCAAGCCTGGTGGCCTTAGTGCATCCCTAGAATCCACATAGTGGAAGGAGACAACCAACTTTCACAAACTGTTCTCTGATTTCTACACACATGCTACGGCATATACAAGAATCCTGCCCCATACCAGCCCCTGCCCAAACTATTGAAAAAAAAGTGTAGTTAAAAATAAATAGTGTATGCCCATCAAAATTCTTAAGAGACCTCCAAAGAACTGTACTCAACTTCATATGGAAAAGCAAAAACCCAGGATAGCCAAAACAATCCTGTACAATAAAAGAACTTCTGGAGGCATCACAATCCCTGACTTCAAACTCTACTACAGAGCTACAGCACTGAAAAAAAAAGCCTGGTAGTGGCATAAGAACAGACAGGAGGACCAATAGAACCAAACAGAAGACCCGCATATCAATCCACACATCTTTGAACACCTGATCTTTGATAAAGTGGCAAAAAATATCAAATGGAAAAAAAAGAAAGCATATTTAACAACTGGTGCTGGCATAACTGGATATCAACATGTAGAAGAATGAAAATAGACCCATATCTATCACCATGCACAAAACTCAAGTCCAAATGGATCAAAACCTCAACATAAAACCAGCCACACTGAACCTTATAGAAGAGAAAGTGGGAAGTACACTTGAACACATAGGCACAGGGAACCACTTCCTAAATATAGCCACAGCAGCACAGACACTGAGAAACAATTAATAAATGCGACCTCCTGAAACTAAGAAGCTTCTGTAAAGCAAAGGACATGGTCAACAAGACAAAACAGCCTACAGAATGGGAAAAGATCTTCACTAGCCCCACATCAGACAGAAGTCTGATCTCCAAAATATACAAAGAACTCAAGGAGTTGGACATCAAAAGATCACATAATCCAATTAAAAAAATGGAGTACAGAAACAGAGAACTCTCAACAGAGGAATCTAAAATGGCTGAAAGACACTTAAGGAAATGTTCAATATCCTTAGTCATCAGAGAAATGCAAACCAAAACAACTCTGAGATCCCATCTTAGACCTGTAAGAATGGCCAAAATCAAAAACACTGATGACAACTTATGCTGGAGAGGTTGTGGGAAAAAGGGAACACTACTGCATTGCTGGTGGGAATGCAAGCTGGTACAACCCCTTTGGATGTCAGTGTGGCGATTTCTCAGAAAATTAGGAAACAACCTTCCTCAAGACCCAATAATACCACTTTTGGGTATATATCTAAAGGATGCTCAATTGTGCCACAAGGGCATTTGCTCAACTATGTTCATAGCAGTTTTGTTTGTCATAGCTAGAACCTGGAAACAACCTAAATGCCCCTCAATCAAAGAATGAATTAGGAAAATGTGGTACATTTACACAATGGAGTACTACACAGCAGAAAAAAAAAACACGACAGCTTGAATTTTGCAGGAAAATGGATGGAACTAGAAAACATTATTTTGAGTGAGGTAACCCAGACTCAGAGAGACAATTATCACATTTACTCACTCATAGGTGGTTTTTAAACATAAAGCAAAG